TTTTTGGTTTTTTTTTTTTTTTTTTTGACCATATGGGTTGAAAGTACCTGTTTGCCATTCATGCCATTTGCCATTCAAATGGGTGAATACATGATGACAGAACTTTCATTTATGGATGACCTATCCCTTTAAAGAAGTAAAGTATGATCAGATCATGTGGATTTACTTCTCTTTTTGTGTATGTTGACATCCACTGTCTTTGCTTTTGGAGCTGTGAAGCAGAGAGCAAATTTGAGTCAATATTCATCGCTACGATTATAAGTCATTTGAAAAATGTCATTCAGGGGTTGATGATAAAAAAAAAGCATAGGCACACATTGTGCTTGTTCTTTTGTACCTTTCTTTGCTTTCTCTAGTCTTGTTCTTACTGGAGACTCTTTTTCTGATGAGCAAATATTAGTGATGAGGTGAATTTCAGTACAATATTCAACAAAAAACAATAACTGATGTAAAGAGGGCTATTGCACCTTTTTTCTGTTTAAGCAGGGGTTCCCTTCTCTTAGTCTCAGCTTCTGGAGAGGGAAAACACAATAAACAATATAAAATTAGCTTCCAGATCAAAACACGTATATGATTATCTCCAAATTTGTTGGTAGAAATTTGCTCAGCTGAAAATTAATTTTCAAACTTTACAGTGTTTGCTGGCATAATGAGAACATTGTGTCAAATGCACAATAAAGGACAGTTAATTGGAAATATATATTTTGCATTTTATTAAATGTGGAAATAAACAAATTGAAATTGAATTTAGGAATAAATTAATTTCCTAAAGTGAAAATTGGCATGAAATGTCCCATAATGCTGTTGGCTCAAAATGATCTGATTTTTTATATTTTATTGTATTATTAATTAACCATTTTGTTAAAATAACAGAACAATCTTTTAAAGCACATCAATATGATTTATCAATAGATTAGTCTACTACTTTACTAGGTTTGCACAGGCCAACTTTAATCAAACAACACAATACATCACATACTCATGTGCTCAAGGGTGACTCTTTTAGCTGTGAAATGAAAAACAGTCAGACATGAATCAGGCCAAACTGCTTTGTTTAGAGAGAGTTGAAAACTGTCTGCAGTAACAGGTCACTTCATGATGACTAAATCACTGATACTATACACTGTTAATGTAAAAAACTCTTTGCCAGATCTATCAGTAGTCATGATTGGTGTTGCAAGTTGATTATACAAATTAGCATATCAGAGTGGAAATACTATCAAAGTCTTAAGTATATCTAAAGGTTGGGGTTTCGATTAAAAAATAAATAAATAAATAAATAAATCTAGATGAATTATTATGCACCAGGGGGCACTATTGTGTTTGTCAAAAAAATACAATACAGCTATTTTACTGATATAAGATCCTCAGCGATGTCCTGTAAAACAGATTGCTATATTATTATATAGATGAGATCATTATATATTTTATTCTAAAATGCTTTGAAAAATTTACTTGCAACGCTATCGCTTAGAGATGAACAAAAATAGACAAACTAACAAATCATATTTTATCTAAAATACAAGTTACTTATTAACTTATGTTCATAGAACTGTTGTATAAAAATCTGTGGTCTCATGTCTAACATTAAATAATGTGTAAATATGTAGTTTGTTACTGGAAAAAAAAGCTATTTTACTTCAACTATTTTAATTTACTGTTTTATTCAAATTATTTATTTTCATGGCCAAGCATAATCCATGATACTCAAAGAAAACATAGTTTATATAATACATATATAAGTATACATGCATATATAAGTATTTTCAAAATTATTTATATTAGCTTCTTGCAATTGTAATATATATATATATATATATATTAGCTGCAATAAATATCTGTTCAATAATATTATTGAATAAACACACCTCTTTTCTTTACTTTATCAGGTTCAGCTGGAAGAAAAAAAGGAGAAAAAGGACAATGAGTGACAGTTAATGTAGCAATTGAATTTATTATTACAGTAGATGGCGACTATGAGTGGATTTCTGCTTACTGCATTAGAAATCTCTAAACAACAATACAAACCACCAAACATGGCTTTGCTGAGCTCATTAGTGGCAAAAGCTTTGTCTAGCAATGTCAGACATGGTTAGGAAGAGGAACAAAATTTAATCTTGAAGCACAGCTTGATTTTTATATGATGTTCTGTAAGCACAACCAAATTAAATTGTAAAATGAATCGTATTTAGTAAAAAGCAGGATGGTATGAGTTTACAGTAAGGAGTAAGGGTCAGTAAGAGCAAATATATCTATAAAGTAAAATAATCCAAATATGATTTTCTGTATCTGCTGATACAGAAATTACCCATATGGTCAATATTTCATGCACATACTGTATGCATAGCTTACAATCCCTGCGTACATGTGCGTGTCTTCATAAATTTATAGTAGGCTACGTCCACCTCTTCAGTAACTTCTATAACACTGGTGCAAATACGTTTTTAGTTACACATCATTCACCAGTCAATGCTTATATTTTTAGCATACGATTTATTGCATGTTCAAAATACAGAATATCAGTTATTTTTGCATGAAAAGCTCACAATATTTGTTAGAACAGAATCCACAAAGATACCGGCATGTCTCTGACTTGATCTATGGTTTATCTATGGTTTATCCATGAGACATGGCCAGTGTAATTTGCTACAGAATGGCTCTGTTATGTTGAAAATTGAAAATATGCCCAGGCTTTTTTTATTATATTTTAAAACAACATGCTTGATATTGACCTTGCGAGTCAATACCAAATACCTTTTTCTTCCTTTGGTTTAGTGTCTTGGGCTTTTTGAGGCTCTTTATGTATTACTGAATGCATACAAGGACAGGTAGAGGCCTCTTTTTGTTTGCCTGGATACAAACAAATGCAAAATAGTGAGTGTCATTTGTGGGGACTTTCACACTAGCACTTTTGGTGCGCACCCGGGTTCGTTTGACGTCAGAGTTCGGTTCGTTTGGGTAATGTGAACGCTGTTTTCTGAACTCAGGTGCGCACCCGCGAACCGTAGCCTACTCGTAGCAATCGAAGTCGGGTTCAGACCAGGCAATCGAACCAAGTGTGAAAGCACCTATAGACTACAGTGATTCATTTAATTTAGTCATCTTTTGTTCATATGAAACATCGGCTCTGACGTTATGTGTTTTTTTTTTTTTGGAGGCACACTCAGACTTACTTGTCTGAGTGTGTGGCAAAAATCAAATCAATCACAAAAAATCTACTAAATATGAAAATTATTATGATGTAGCCTACATGAAAAAATGTGAAACTCAGCATGCATTCTTTCTTCCTTTGTTTTCTCACTGACCTTTGGTGCTAAAGTTTATTAGCTAATAAAATGCATTTACTCTTTTCTGATTAAGATCAGCAGGGGCATTGAAAGGTGTAAGATAGGATATTATGACTATGACTTTGATTTGCCATTGAAACTTCATATATTGGATTTGTGTAAATTTTCATTTGCATTTGTATAAAAATTAAATAGAATAAAAAATGTAATATAAAATAAGATGCTTATTTAGAGACAATAGCAGCACTTACACTGTAACTGTGAACTGACCTTCTTTTTTAAATAAAATAAAATAAAATAAAAAAGTTTCTCTATTTGGAGACAACAGCAGCACTGTAATTATGTACTGACCTTCTTTTTCAGCCTCTGCCACAGGTTCCTCTGCTTCTTTTTCTTTTCTTTTGTTCATATGAAACATCGGCTCTGACGTTATGTGTTTTTTTTTTTTTGGAGGCACACTCAGACTTACTTGTCTGAGTGTGTGGCAAAAATCAAATCAATCACAAAAAATCTACTAAATATGAAAATTATTATGATGTAGCCTACATGAAAAAATGTGAAACTGTTCAAAAAAATATACAGACTAATGAGAGATGCATTAGATTAGCCTTGTCTAAATCAACACAGGATGATAAAGATCGCATTGGCAGCGAAACACGAGGATAAATGTCTTCTACAGATTAATATATTGGTGTCATTATCTTTAAAACCCATAATATGCTTATGACATCAGAGGCCAATGCCAGATTTTACATCCATAAATCAAAATGTTATTACTAAAATTCATTTTTAAAGTGGTGGTAGTTAATCACAGGATACAAATACGACACCTTCATTATAAGTTTGGATTGCATAAATTTGCCAGAATTAATGTGACAATTTTTGATTAAATACCACCCCATCAGTAAAGAGATTGGATTATTGTAACAAGAAGGATGCCAGCTAAAAATAAAAACAGGTTGACAACCTCGCCAACAAATGGAGATTAACAATAATAACAAATCTGAAGATACTGGCTGAGAAGCAGGGAAATGTTTTTAGTGGCTGCAAGAATTCCAAGAAGTCTCTTAGAATAATAATTATATTGTAATTTAAAAATCCGGTTTTGATTGTGTTGCTTACATGCTCGCGGGGAATTACAGGGTGGTGTCATTCAAAATGCCTTTAACCTAAAATGCTAATGCCATTTTTGATATCAGTCAACCCTGCAGCTGAGTACATGATCTGTGTTATTAAAACAGCATGCATTCTTTCTTCCTTTGTTTTCTCACTGACCTTTGGTGCTAAAGTTTATTAGCTAATAAAATGCATTTACTCTTTTCTGATTAAGATCAGCAGGGGCATTGAAAGGTGTAAGATAGGATATTATGACTATGACTTTGATTTGCCATTGAATCTTCATATATTGGATTTGTGTAAATTTTCATTTGCATTTGTATAAAAAATTAAATAGAATAAAAAATGTAATATAAAATAAGATGCTTATTTAGAGACAATAGCAGCACTTACACTGTAACTGTGCACTGACCTTCTTTTTTAAATAAAATAAAATAAAATAAAATAAAAACGTTTCTCTATTTGGAGACAACAGCAGCACTGTAATTATGTACTGACCTTCTTTTTCAGCCTCTGCCACAGGTTCCTCTGCTTCTTTTTCTTTCAGTTCCTCGACTGCCGCTGTTTTAAGAAATAAAGCAAACAAAACAAAAGGTGAGTCTTACAGCCCAGAAAGAAAATAGAAAGACAAAAGACACAGACATGTACTTGCTTACACACACAGAGACACATCAACACAATGCCAACTTTGATGTTCAGATCTTTTTGTACTTTATTAGTGCTTTCTGTGCAGACTGTTCAACCCCATGGGTCAAAATGGATCTCTTCAAGTCCCACATTTTTTGCTCTCTCCCCTAGCAGCAGGCTTCTTTCTCTCAGCAGGGATTTATTCTGTTGTGTGAAACATATCTAATGATGTTCTTGATAGAGGAATGACAGAGTATCTGCTGCTTGCCTGCAGGCAGGGCCGAGATTCTCATTTTTCTGGCCTGCTCTCTGCAGTAAATGGAAAGGGGTGATGTTATTGCTGTAATTTTCTGCAGAGCACAACATTTTAAAGAACTAAAGTACAAAGTAGTAAAGTCAAAAACGAGTCAAATCTATTTGAGGTAACCTTGTCAATGAAACAGATCAGCAGGACACAATCCTGGGATATTTTTGGACATGAAACAGGTGGAAAAAGACTCCCAAATATTTCTTGATGATGGGGCCAAAGCAAGCACACACATTTACTGAATAATACTGGATTATACACTCTTTTGTTAATAAAAAAAATAACAAGATATTTGATAGAGCCAAAGCATACACTGAACATATTATAATCAGATTGTATTGCTGCCATTTATTTACTGAATAATACTGAATTATACACTTTATTGTGTAATGAATACTGAATTATACACTTTTTTGTTAATAAAATAAAATAAAAATAAATAATAAATAATAAAAACCTCTAAACTAAAATAAAAAATAATAAACTAAACCAAAATTAAAATAAAAGGTGGAAAATGCTCCCAAATGTTTCTTTTTGACAGGGCCAAAGCAACAGTGCATCATATTATGATCAGATCAAATTTATTTACTGAATAATACTGAATTATACATTTTTTTGTTTAAAATATTAAAAATATATTTAATATTAAAAATTAAATTAAATTAAATTATTAAATGTATACTTTATGCCAACAAGTGAAAGATTTCCTTTCACTTCATTAAGGCAACGGTCAACTTGAGATCTGCATGAGCCATATTAAATTCAGTGTGCATAAATACCCACAAACTTGACATACATTTGTAATCTGTTCATTGCACAAACAGCAGGAGATTGAATGCAAATCAATATGTTGCTGCAAAATCACTGAAGGTGAAAAACAAACTCTGAACAAATTTAACTAGAAAAGTAAAGTTAGAATGTTGTCCTGGCAAAGTCTTGCCTAAAAGTTTCAATCAGCTAAAAAAAATATATATATATATTATTTTAGGTTTACTTATTATAGGTTGTTTAGGCTTACTTGAGCAATTTGTTATCTTCATGATTGCTACATAGTTGCCTGGTCTTCCGAATGGCTGCTAAGGTTGCTTAGGTTCTCAATTAGTAAGGGCTAATCAGCCTTACTTTTTGGATTCAAATTAGACCAATCTACCATTTTTGGGCACAAATCCTCAGCAAAGACCATGAGAACCAGATGAGTCCTCTACACAGACTCTGTGGCCAGCTTCGACTCTTTCACCATGTGATCCAATCTTCAAGCGGAAGGAACTGGATGGATGTTCTGAGTGATGCCAGTCCACATTCTGACTTGTGTTGCAGCCTCGAACTAAACCACACCATGTTGGGTTCATCTGGCCAGAGGAGAACTGGCCCCTGACTAAGCCTGGTTTCTCCCAAGGTTTTTTTCTCCATTTCTGTCACCGATGGAGCTTGGGTTCCTTGCCACTGTTGCCTTTTGGCTTACTTAGTTGGGGACACTTAATATCTGGTGATATTATCGACTTGTTTGCACAGACACATTTAGAAGAAAACTGAACTGAGCTGGATGATGACATCACTGAATCAACAATGAACTGACTTTAACCGAAAAAATGACTGTTTGCTATTGTCCTCTTTTTAGAGCTGCTTTATAGCAGAATTGCATTTTGTTTGCAGCGTGTAACCCTTGCAGCATCTCAGAACACCTTAGTTACCACCTTGTGACTCCCTAACAAGTCAGAGAACATTAGCAACCACTTGCCATGGTTGCTAGGGTGCTCTTGAATTGACAGCATAATGAGCTTTTCTCCTTTATGAAATGTATTTGAATCTCTCTGTATAAGTATCAGTTCTTGGCACTGTGTGTAACCACAGTCTCACCGTGTTCCACTGTTGTCTCTGCAGGCACAAGTACACTTCATTCTGCTGTTCCCAGACAGAAGCAGCAGCAGTCAGTCCTCTGAACTCATCTGAGCTCTGAGTCTGTGATACTGCTGTGTCATACACTGTCTCAGAGCGGGATTAGATTTCCATCTTGCAATACACACATGGCTTTATCCCCAATCTCCTCTCCAGATTTTAATCTGATACCCAGTAGGATCTTTTGCCCTCAGGGAGAATTCAGAAAAATTCTAGTTCAACACCATATCGATAAATCAAATAACAAGAATAATTGGAAAGGGAGGAATATATCTCACTGGAGGAAATCATATTATAGAGATCCTTGTGCTTTTATAATGTTTATTTTAACATGGTTGAGGTTACACCTTTTTTCCATTATTTAATTAAATATTTAAAATATGTATTTTAGGTAAATCATTAAAAATATTTCTTAAATTAAAAATATTATATATTAATTTCAAGAACTGTTCAAAAGCTGAGGAAAATCAAAAATAAAGAAAGAAAGTGCATTTTTTTTAAAACATCTGTATATTGGCCTATATACTAATTAAAATAATTATCACAATAATTATTTTAAATAGATAATTGAAAATATGTATTTTTAATAAATAATGAATATTAATTATTAAATAAAATAAACTATTATATATAAGAAAATTCTTAAATATTCAGTTCAATAAATAAAGTTCAATAAACGGTCACTTTAACATAACAGTTTCCTAGGGGGTCAAAAATATAATTAATGAGGTCAGACATCTTCGATCTATAACTGAGCCTGAGGAAGTACTTTATTCGTCTTTTTACACACTCACAGGAAAAAAAAAGGTACAAAATCTGTCACTGCGGCGGTACCTTTTCAAAAGGTACACCTTTGTACCTAAAGGGTGCATATTGGTTCCTTAAAGGTATGTATTAACACCTGAAGTGTACATATTAGTACCTAAATAGTACAAAATTGCACCTTTTGAAAAGGTATGGCCCAGGTGATAGCTTTTGTACCTTTTTTACTGAGAGTGCAGCAGAGACCAGTGCAGAACATCAAGCAACTTGACACACACCAGCATCATCCTAATGCTGTGGAGTAGATGGAAAAAAATGAGCCATAAGGAAGTCTTTGGAGATCAAAGTTTGAGGCCTAAGGGTCTGCTCAACCCTCACATCCACAGCCACACACACATGCCCTCTTCTCCCGTCATCCACCACCATCAGGCTTCTGCTTGTTGTAGAACACCACTCCTCCACAGTCAATAACCTTGGAGCTCATTAGTGTTGGCATAATATTCTCATTTTAATTCTGGTTCATTTTATATGCTTCATGCAAGCAAACTGTTGCTATGTTTGTTACCTTTAGGGACCGGTTCTGGTTCTGGTGCTTTTGCAGCAATTTCCACTTCCTCTGCGCTTTCATCCTTTTCATCTTTCTCCTCTTCTTTCAGGGTTGTTATGTCTTTGAAAGAAAAGCAAACATATTTATAAGGCTCGCCGGATAGATCACAAGAAGTATTTGTGATTTTGTTTCGAAGTCTTTCCAACCTTTAGTAACCAGTAAAAATTTATTTACCCTTGACCTATTATTCTTGAACTCTTCCAAGTGATTTTGGCGGGAGCTAAAATTTTCCCTTTGTTGCTGGCTAGATTGCATTAGCATTTGACAAAGAGATACAATCAGATTTAATTTGCAAACAGAACTATTTTTTTCAATTATCCTATTGAGACTGATCCTTCAGATTTCATTAGCAACATCAGCGGCGAGTTAGGAGCTGGAACAGGTGGTTTAGCTTTGTGCAAAGTGAATTAGCAAATCAACTAAATTAAGTTAGTCAAGCTGTCCTATGCTTAACTTTCATAAGTAAAAAGCAAAAGGTATCAGCAGTATACATAAAACATACCAATAGCTTTATGTGCTGCTGCTGCTGCTAAGACAATGACTATAACCACTATTCCTAACTTTTTACTCATTCTATAGCCACAATAACCTATTTTGATTTTCTCTAGTTTACAAGTGCATCTTCATTTGGCTTAATCTCGTTCCAGTGTTTTCCTTGATCATCCAGAACTTTGATGCCCTTGAATGACCCCTTTCGAGACAAGTGTTTGGTGACAGCTGACATGAAAGCAGTCTCTCATGGATTCTAACCGTTTCACTGGCAGCTGAAAAGCAATGCACCAGCTGCGGTTCTTTGATCCACCCAGCATGAATTAGACTTCAATCACAAACTCAAATGGGGTCTTTTCCTATAGCATATTTGGATATGTATAGCAGCAAACTTATACTAAACAATTTTTTGTGAGATAGCAAGTGATGTCTAAATGATTAAAGTATTCGGTTAAAATTAAGAAAACCTATAGGCGGTACATTCAAGTTTTTATAAAGTTTTCAGACTGATAAATTACAGACTGATATAACATTACAAATAGGAATTGTAAAGAATTCTTGAGGATTTATACAGAGTTCCAACTTCCAATTCTTGTTATGGTTTCTTAACGGTTCCTGTTTTTTAGTACTATTAAGGAATAAATAAATGCAAAAGGGTCAATCAGGGAATTCAGTATTCCAATGAAATCAATGGGAGAATGCATTTGAGAAAACTATTTGGTTCTTTTTTTAATTGTATTTGTTTTTTATGTCACTGGCTAGTTTATTTATTATTTTGACATGGACACATTTAAAAAACAAACAAACAAAACAAAATAAATTATCTTTTAGAGTCAATAACTATAATCTTGGTACCTTTCTCAGGTGAAGAGCCATCATCTTCATCAGCCACCACTGTTGTCTCATCTCCACCTTGTTCGGAGCTAACTACAGTTGCTGTTACTATAATATCATCATCATCATCCTCACCCCTTATCTGTTCCTCTCCCTCCTCTTTTCCCTCTTCCTCCTGCTCCTCCTTATCTGCAACGTCATCAGTTAGCTCAGGTTCCTCAATAACACCCTCACCTTCACTTGCTATATCTTTCTCAGAGTCAGCATCTTTCAGTCCAGCACCAGTTTCATCTTTAAGACTGTCTTCTGTAACCTCACCATGATCGTCAGCTAGTTTTTTTGTTATCTTATCATCATGGTCATCAAATGGGATATCAGTAGCGCTTAAGCCATCTTGTGAGTCAGCTAAATCAGCCACTGCATCATCAGCTTTAGCAGCACTCTCCTCTATGGTTGTTAATAGCTTTGAATCGCCATCAGCTTTAAGAAATATAGGTTCCTCACCAGTTTCTTGCACTTCAACATCAGTGACTGTAGCACCAGCATCAGCTATAATACCAAGAGCAATGGCGATATCAGCCTCTTGGACCTCACCGTCATCATCTTTCTCCTCACTTTGGTCATCTTTTTGGTCATCATCTTTACCATCAGCAGGAGTATCTTCTTTTCCATCTTCTTCCTCAGGTGGTTCTTTATCTACATCAGTTTTGCCCTCCTCCTCATCATCAGCTGCCTCGGTTTCTTTAGGAGTGACTTGTTCTGCAGTTTCTTCTTTCTCCTCATCAGGTTCAGCAGGGATCGAAGTATCTTTCTTTTCGACAGCAGGAGCAGCAGCAGCTTCCTCTTCATGTTCCTCCTCAGCATCAGCTTCCTCTTCTTCCTTTTCTTTTTCCTCCTCCTTCTGCACAGCTTCTGCTTCCTCCTCTTCATGTTCCTCTTCCTCCTCAGCATCAGCTTCCTCTTCCTCCTTTTCTTTTTCCTCCTCCTTCTGCACAGCTTCTGCTTCCTCCTCTTCATCTTCCTTTTCTTCCTCAGCATCAGCTTCCTCCTTTTCCTTTTCCTCCTCCTCCTGCACAGCTTCTGCTGCTGCTTCCTCCTCTTCATCTTCCTTTTCTTCCTCAGCATCAGCTTCCTCCTTTTCCTTTTCCTCCTCCTCCTGCACAGCTTCTGCTGCTGCTTCCTCCTCTTCATCTTCCTTTTCTTCCTCAGCATCAGCTTCCTCCTTTTCCTTTTCCTCCTCCTCCTGCACAGCTTCTGCTGCTGCTTCCTCCTCTTCATCTTCCTTTTCTTCCTCAGCATCAGCTTCCTCCTTTTCCTTTTCCTCCTCCTCCTGCACAGCTTCTGCTGCTGCTTCCTCCTCTTCATCTTCCTTTTCTTCCTCAGCATCAGCATCAGCTTCCTCTTCCTTTTTTTCTTTTCATCATCAGCTGCCTCGGTTTCTTTAGGAGTGACTTGTTCTGCAGTTTCTTCTTTCTCCTCATCAGGTTCAGCAGGGATCGAAGTATCTTTCTTTTCGACAGCAGGAGCAGCAGCAGCTTCCTCTTCATGTTCCTCCTCAGCATCAGCTTCCTCTTCTTCCTTTTCTTTTTCCTCCTCCTTCTGCACAGCTTCTGCTTCCTCCTCTTCATGTTCCTCTTCCTCCTCAGCATCAGCTTCCTCTTCCTCCTTTTCTTTTTCCTCCTCCTTCTGCACAGCTTCTGCTTCCTCCTCTTCATCTTCCTTTTCTTCCTCAGCATCAGCATCAGCTTCCTCTTCCTTTTTTTCTTTTTCCTCCTTCTGCACAGCTTCTGCTGCTGCTTCCTCCTCTTCATCTTCCTTTTCTTCCTCAGCATCAGCTTCCTCCTCTTCTTTTCCCTCTTCCTCCACCACCGCTTCCTTCGCTAATTCCTCCTCCTCTTCTTCTCCATCCTCCTCTTCTTCCTCCTCTTTGATCTCCTCATCACTTTCTTCTTCCTCTTCTTCTTCTTCTTCATCCTCCTCCTCTTCTTCTTCTTCCTCCTCCTCCTCCTCTTCATCAGCAAGCACCTCATCTTCATCTTCCTCCTCATACTCCCCTTCCTCTTCTAACATCTCCTTGGCCCATATCTCTGCAACTATATCATTAGGTTTTCAGAAACATCAGTGAAGCTGTAATGCATAACACAGGGGTGCCCAAACTCGGTCCTGGAGGGCCGGTGTCCTGCAGAGTTTAGCTCCAACTTGCCTCAACACACCTGCTGGTAAGCTTCTAGTATGCCTATAAGAGCTTGATTAGCTGGTTCAGGTGTGTTTAATTGGGGTTGGAGTTAGACTCTGCAGGACACCGGCCCTCCAGGACCGAGTTTGGGCCCCCTGGAACATATAATCAGATTTATATATTGTAAATTAGTGTTTTAATGTGACATCATCCCTTCAGTATGCTATTAGATAGTTGAATACTTAGAAGACATGCAAACTAATAGGACTGTCTTTTTAAAAAATAATGTGCAAATGATTGATTGATTGATTGATTGATTGATTGAAGGAGTACATCAATCACAACTTGATGAGACCTCGTAATTATATACAGTACTTGGCAAAATTACAAATGTTTGTGGATTTTAGTCAGTGTCTGTTAAAGTAGGTATGAAACTGAAATCGTGGTAATCTTTTCTTACCTATATTGTAACATATATGTGACAGTTTTGATTTCATAGTAACAGCTAACTGAGGTCATCAAAATGCTCAAATAATAATCATAATAATACTTTCAGTGTATAGTGTAAACACATCTTTATATATCTAGAGTACTGCAGTAATTATGTATTTTTGTAGACCAACCCGGAAGCAGTGGTGTAATGTAACGAAGTAATAATACTTTGTTACAGTACTTAAGTATTTTTTGGGAGTAGGCCTATCTGTACTTTACTTGAGTTATATTTCAGCCAACTTTTACCTTTACTCCACTACATTTCCTAATTAAAATGTATACTTTTACTCCGATACATTCCCCCAAAGCATATTCGTTTCTTACTACAAAATAGTCAGAAGTCAGAAGAACACAGACTGCAGGAAAGCAGGTTTGACGAATCAGTGGTCTGGCGTTTGCAAGTTAGACTCCTAAAAACACCTTTTTCATCTGCAAACAAGTGCGCGCACAACCGCAGATAATTCATTTTCCATTCAAGTCGAGTCTGGGGTGTGCGATATACAGCATCGTCTGCGATAATATGGTAAGTGTTGTTGTAATGATGTGCGATCTGACATTATCAAGTAGGCTATATCACCAAATCACACACAGGGTGCACGCACGTTGATTTATTAGTCTATTAAAACTTAAAATTCCAGGCATTCTAAATTGTAGATGTAAAAAATGCTTCTGTATGCTTTTTATATTTATATAATTTAACTTAATCTATAGCCTATCACACAAAGAGTACCGTTTTTCAGCATGAACACATTTAATAATAATTTTATACAAGTTCAGTAAAGCAATGTGACTTACATTTTAGACATAATATTGCTTGTTTTTGCTCAAGTTTGCTGTTTTGCGTCTCTGAGCAATGGACGGTGTTTACTTATTGAGTAAATCAGCTTTTGAATCAGTTGAATAAATGATTCAGTGATTCCCTCATTAACACAATCAAATGCTTTGTTTCTGAATGAATCAGTCGTTTAAATAAATCGGTTGAATCTCAATGACTCACTCATTAACAGTCCCTTGCTGTCACCTACTGGCGGTTTTAATTTCACATTTCGACTTTTTTTTTTCACGTTTTAAATAATTTCAGATATCAGTATTCAATGTTTTATGTTAAAAACAAAACATTAGGCCTATTTATGCATCTGTAACTGCAGTTTAAATGCATCCATGTCCCCTCTGAGATACATAAACTGTGTAAATACAT